TACAAATCACATGGTGGATCCAATATGTATCAGCAGCCCAAGATTTATTTGGTTCTTGAGGCCGCGCTACAGCCAGATGCATTAGAAGCTGTGGAGGGAATACCCAGAGTGAGAAAACTGAGGTACAAAAGTTCCCCAGTATTCAAGAAAGTTCTGAAACATTTTGAGGCATTTATTCAGCCAAGACTTTCCCTGACTCTAATGGGACTTTGCCAGAGAATGGTTTGAATGCCTAAAGTGGGGTTAATTCCTAAATGTGGTTCTTTATTTTAAACGTAAATAATTAGAAATCACAAAACTCTGCTCAGAAAAGGTGCTGTGCTAATCCCTCTCTACAGGCATTTGCTACTGACTTTCAGTGAAGCTGCACTCAGAAAAGCATCCATTGCTGCCTACTACTGAGCATCCTCACATTTTGAAGGAGAAGTCAAGTCATCAAACTAATAAAGGGAGAAGTAATGCCTAAAACTAGGGGAGGTCTTGAATCTCTCTGTTGACTAGGAACTGTTGTTAAAATATAAGTTGCCCTGCTGCACAGAAAACACAGGTAACCAGAGCCAGCTTCCACCGCATGGGCCCAATCCTGTTCCCACTGAAGTCAGTGGCAGAACTCCAACCTGTTTAATGGGAACGGCAACAAGCTTTCTATCTACTTAATATAAATGAAGATACACATCTCCTCTCTGACATATTTTGGGCTCAAAGCCATTGGCTGACACTTGTTTGGTTCTCTGCATGTATGTGACTCATGGGATAATATAATGCCTGATTTCCATTCTGCCAGACCTGTCTTTCTCCGTGGTTAACTATTAATTTCAGAGGCAAGATGCAATACTGCAGTAAAATAGGATGGTGTTAAACTAAGAAAATTGCACTTAAATATTTAGAGTAAATGAATCAGATTCCCTTTTGTGAGGATTCCCTTCCAGTTGAAGAGGTATACCCACGTAGTCCTTAGGACATCAGCCCATAGCTCCTGCGTAGAGAGGGAATTTGTGGAAGTCTCTAGCAAAGTACTTGGCAGGCAAAGTAGTGTAAACACACTGCCTTTACCCTGCCAGGATGGCTTGAGGAGAAACCTGATAATGGAAATGACAAAAAAAATCTGTATTCCAAATAGTTGATTCTTGTTTCGGGCTACCTACACAGAACTGGGTTACTCTGGATATACAGGTGCTCGATAAACTATGAGCACATGCTGATTTTCCACCAAAGTTGTAAACTCTTCGGGGTAAGGGCTTACTTTCTCTCTTTGGATCTATAGCCTAAGTTTGAGATACAAAGTAGTACCATAATATATATATATAAAAATAATACGGGCTGGAAGGAATGATCTGAACAGACTTTCTGATTCTTCTGAAGTTTCTTGTGATATGCTTATTATTACTAAGTGTTGTCTCGGCTTTAAAATGCAGTAACCTCAGATACGATACAGCAAATCACACTGAAACACAGATATTTCTGTGCAAGGTGTGTGTTTGTACACAATTTCACTTGTATAAACATGGATTTCGTTACGGGGGAAGAAAGAGACGCCCAGAACCAGAGATGTCAATGTATAAAACATTATTTTTTACTTAATCTGTTATACCAAGAGAGGGCAGTAGGCCTGTTTCTCCACCCTTTACTCAGGTAGACATTTGCCATTCTTTTCACCACTGAATTGTGTCAAACCCAATTCAACCAGTAAATTCAAACCAGTAAGTGCAAAGCACTGAGAAGCACCTGCTTTCTCCTAACAGCAAAGCATCTTCCACTGCCCCCCTTCAGTGTGGAAATTCATGTGGAGCACTCCAAAAACTGTTCCTATCCTCCAGCTCCCTGAAGCAGGTGGATGAGGCAAGCTCCTCAGGGGCAACTTGCCTGTCACAGCAGAAAAAAAATAAATCACTGAGAAATCTTGACATTCCTCTGCCACCCCTGACCTGCTGCAGGACGTTGCTATGGTCATGAGCAATCTCTCAACTCTGTACACAATGCTAGCAGACAACTACTCCCTTCCTCCCCAACATGTGATTACTTGCTTGGCCTCTCAGTCACTGCCCACCCCCATGTCTCACGCCCTCCGTGTCCCCAGCCCCATGTCTGGGACTGGGGAGGGTGAGGGCTGGAGAAGGAAGGACTGCACAGCCACACTTGTGTGGCAGTATGGGCAGAGGCTGGCAGCATCGCAGCAGTGCTGCGTATAAAAGGAAGAAGCTTGGTGGGAAACTCTAAAAGCCACCCCGCGGTTGTGAAGACAAATGCCACTGAGTATATACACACCCACAGCACCCTGCCCAGCACTGGGGCTGCTCAAGCCCTTGCCCAAGCCAGGATAAATAGTCTTGGTGCAAGGTGCGTGTGTGCGGGGAGTTGAGTGCTACATGCGAGGCCAGCCCCTGCCCATGGTCCTGCCACGCTTACCTGCTGCATCCACAGGGCAGCCACGGCACAGCAGTGCAGCCTGCGCCTACCATCCTCTTCTGCAGCAGCATGGACTGGCAGCTGTTTTCACATGAGCGTGCTGGACTAGATGATCCCCAGAGGTCCCTTCCAGCTCCAACTGTCCTGCGATATTTGGAGTAGACAGTGCATAAAAATCCTTTCCACCACCCAGCATTTATAATGCATGTCTAAATACAGCTGAAACAGGCAATGCATGGGGTCATACATGAGATCCGAGTGTCGCAGTACTGCTCGCTTTGATCCTGCTCTTAAGGCAAACATCCCTGAACATGCTGCTGTGAGAATTTTCTCATCTGGGCAATGACTTAGGGACTTGCCAAAGGCTCAGCTGTGTGCCGGGGTAAGGGTTCAGGTTGAGAGGAAGAGAGAATGCAGAGCTGCAGCTGGGGAGGGCTGGGAGGGGGCTGCCAAAGTAAAACGCAGGCTGCAAAGAACACAGAGGCTGCAAAGAGCACTGTGCTGTGAGAACTTTTTTGTCTAGGCCATGGCTGGGGGCCTTGTTGAAGGCTCAGCCTACAGTTAGGGTTAGGATTAGGGAACGCTGCTTGTTTTGGCACTATGTTTAAGGCAAGTGTCTCTAAACACTTTTCTGCTATCAATAATTTACCCTTCGTAATATTCCAGGGCATGCTGTGTTTATATAACTATTGAAACACCTATGTGGTAGACAGGTGATCATAATTTTGAATCATAAAATGGTTGATTCTTCTGCCACTGAAGACCTGTTTAATCTACAGTTCATTTAAATTAATGGAAAAATCTGCTTTGTCTGAGGCCATAAATGATTTGGTGTAACTACACACAAACACACATGGTGAGTCACAGTTCAGAACATAACTCAAACAACCAGGACTGTATTCCCATGCTCTAACCACTAGATTACAGTCCCTCCCACATATACCCTGCAATAATCTTTGCTCAAATGATAACAGCATTTCCCCACTTTACACGTTGGACGGCATTACTCAGTAACGCACATCATACCCGACGGGAGTACAGCTCTGCAGGGCTGGGGGAGGAAGGAAGCACAAGTAAAAGTCATTCTTTTTGCCCGACACCACTAGAACTTAACTCTTCCCTTGGAAAATTACCAGCTCTGAATCTCCTGATCTACACCTAACTGAAAAATAAAATCCTTAATTCTGATCTGCACTCATCTTTTACCCATCCCGAGCAGCGAGTGCTTGCGGACTGATGGTCACAGTGGATTTCGGAGGAGCAGCCTTACCTTTCCTCCACCCCGCAGACCAGCGTGAGCCCTGCCGGGAGGGTGCAAAGCCCCCGGCACCCTCAGAGCTGGCCCCCTCCCGTGTGGCAGGGCCCAGGGGGCCGAGCGGGACTCGCACGGCTGCACCTGCCCCGGGCCGAGGTGCTCTGGGAGCCCTTGCGAGGACGCAGCCTGCCTCTTGGCCTGCGCATCGCTGGGTCAGGCACCGGCGGGTCCAAGTCTCTCTTTGGGGTGTTTCATTTCTGCTGTTGATGAGCCACGCACGGCACATGGTGGACACGCCATGGGGGCAGCGAGCGACGGGGAGCTCGGCTCCCCCGAGCGGATCACCCTCCCCGGGAAAAGGCGGACACAAGTGCTGCTGAAGGCGACGGGACACGGGGCAGCTTTTCCTCACACGCCTGAGGCGCAGCCCCACCCCTGCCGTGGCCCGGCC